GGGGGGGGGGGGTCCTTATTTGGTTGTTTCATTTACCCAAAAGAGCTAAGAAAGGGTAAAGTATATAGTATATAATTTAGTGTGTGTTTGTGTATGTGTGTGTGTGCGTGTGTGTGTGTGTGTGTGGTTTGGGTGGGTTGGGGGGAGACACCACATGAGGCAGTTCTGAAAGAAGCCCACGTTGACCGCTCACCAACAACACCAATGAGGAAGAGACAACTGCAGTTTCTGGGAGCCGGGAATAGACAGAAGGGTCTGGGACATCTAGCTCTCACTAATCGGGGACACAGGAGGTGAGGGGGTGGGGCAGAAAGTGGAGACGAAAGCAGACGACAGAACAATGCAAGAGAGCAGGAAAGGATGTGAAAGGAGGCATTTTAGAGAAGAAAAGTTTCCCATCGCTACCCGGATTTGAACCCGGAACCTTTGAAGGAGAGACGAACACCTTAGGTAATCGATCGAGAAAGGCGAAGACTCCTAGCAAATTACTTAAAAACCAACCCCTGAACAGATGGGTGAGGCATTAAGAACAGGATTATTATACTTCTTTCTCTATCACTTCCTTTTTTCTGGGTTTTTTTTAAAGAACATTCAGACAAAGAAATGAAGGGCGAACCATGATCGCCGATGTCCGCTGAAGTTCTGGACCTAGATTGATTGATTGATTGATTGATTGATTGATTGATTGATTGATTGATTGATTGGTGAGGGGGGGGGGAGGGTCATGACCAGTAGACACTACGTCTCTAGCATTGCCCGGGATTTTAAGTTTTCATTCAGCCTTACTTTTGATGACCTGTCCCAAGGTGACCGCTATCTTGTTGATTGGTCGTGTCCTCTTTAACCTTTTAAGGACCTCGCTGACACATATCTTCGATCTACAGACAAACGAAAAAGTTGTAGCACATTTTGTACCATCATGCACAAATCTGAGACATGGATAAAATTTACATATTTCAGCACACATGGCGTTGCATACCTTTACGGGTTTCAGGTAAATAAATCAGATGTGAAAAAAATCTCTATCATCAACAAATTTATACTAGTTTTAAAAATGACCAAACCATCGTGTGGACGGACCAGAATGCCAGTCTTCAAAGAGTTCACTCAAAAACCCAGACCGTTTCTAATTCCACCCGTTTTTTACGACTATGTTGTCTGGTGTTTCCCTACTCTAAAGGTACAGAGCACCAGTACAGTGTGGCGGTGGTGGTCTAGTTGTTAGGATATTGAACTCACAACCCAAAGGTCGTGGGGTCTAGCTCTAGCAGGAGGGTTTTTAAAGTGTGTCGTAGTACACATCAGAGTTAATTGTCATCCCATTTCCCCCAAATTCTACTAAAAGAACTTCTTGCCTGTCCCAAAACACTGTACTCATGACTTTTTTTTTCCTGACGCGGCCTGCGTAGAACGATTCCAAACAAAAGACGCGGAATGCTTAGCGATGGCGTTGTTCTGCTTCACGACAATGCGACTCCTCACAAGTCTGCACAGACCCAAAACCTGATGTCCTCCTTCGGATGGGAACAGTTGAAGCACCCATCGTACAGCCCAGACCTGGCTACGAGTGACTTTAGTCTGTTCCTGCATTTGACAAAGTTTTTGGCCGGGCAGGACTTCGACTCAGACGCTGATCTCACAGGAGAGACTGGACATTGGCTGACATCACAGGACAGACTGGACCTCACCCCCTCTCCCCCCCCTGTCGTACGCCCAGCACAGGGGAGACAGCCCCGGACGCTGACACCAGGGGGCAGGAAATGTAACAGCCGCCCGTGGAGACAGGGAGAATTCTGTAGTAGCTTTAGCCTATCACGCGGTCGTCAAATCGGAGTCAACAAAGTTATAGTTTTTGTAGCTCTATTACTTGATTTTCACTTTGGAATATTGGATGTTCAAATTGAGACATCATAGATTTTACAGATTCACAACGGAGTCCTTAGGCTTCCATTCCTTGAGATGTGTGTGGCGGTTTTAATTTGTCTACGTGTACTTTTACAGGCACTTTGATTATTTTAGTCGTCTTAAAGAGCAGTTTCTAGGACAATTACATAAAAGCTTTGAACATCTCGCTCTTGCTGCGCATATAGAAGGCAAACGAGGCAGGCGTAGATTAAAAAAAAACATCGTTTGGAAAACCTAAACTGATGGGTGACAGGGGAAGATCCACAATAATGTGGGATTTGTGGGAGCGTGTGAACAGGGAAATGGAAGGGTGAACCATGATCGTCGATGACTGTTGCAGATCTGGCACTTGGTAATGATGGAAGTTTAGAACATATCTCTCTCAGTCTCTCATGAATGATTTTGAGGCAAACGTTCTGGGTTTTTAGAAACGTTGTGGTGCTTTTGGTAAAAGTGGAAATTGGTGATGTGTAAGTCAACTGATTTAAATAAATAGACAATGACAATGGCAATGATAATGACAATAACAATCTTTATTCGTCTTGCATTGAGAAATGTGTCTCGGTCGCTTACAATGGCAGTGAAAGTTAAAAGGTTATGTGCACTCACGCTTACGCAAAACAAGACAGGACATTAATAAATACATAATGTACATGTCTCACATGCTGGGAAAACCCGCGCCATAAAGCGGGTCTGATGTCAACAGTGTCTGTCAAGGCCAATCCGGACTTAGTCCGAGTAGACAGACAGACAGACAGACAGAGATACTCGATAAAAACACCCTACCATTCGAGGATTGAGTTCACACCGTTTGCACGTCATGGTGAAGTGTCTACCTGGTACGCCACAAATGCGATTTGATTGTTTTATGAATTGTCTAGAAAATCGAACCGGTATAATTTGCGATGTACAGGCTCGGAGCTTTGTCGTCGCACGCACGAGATCCAAGTTCAATACTCATGTTGGGATCATATTTATCCAATATTTCGGCCTTTCTACTGGGATGTGGTATCCCTCTCCACCTAGGTTGGTCTGACTAGCAGGGTCAAAACCCGCCCCCTAAATGTCTAAATTGTGTAGATGGGTGTAACAATTCGTGGACTACACGTTGCAATATTCTGCAACAGCTGTTAAATACAGTTCTGGGTTTGGTAATTTGCGAAGCGTAATAATTTGTGTGTGTGTGTGTGTGTTTGTGTGTGTGTGTGTGTGTGTGTGTGTGTGTGTGTTTGTGTGTGTGTGTGTGTGTGTGTGTGTGTGT